TTCCTTTATACACTAACACAGAGAGCTCTGAAAAGGAAAGCAATAGCATTTACAACAGCCACCCAAAAGATGAAATACTTGGGAATAAGTCTATCCTGAGAAACAAAAGACCTGTACCAAGAAAATTACAAAACTACTACAAGCAACCAAAAGAGGTCTGCAGAAATGGAGGAATATACCATGCTCATGCAGAGGAAGACTTAACATTGTGAAAATGTCAACACTACTCAAAGCAATCTATAGATATAATGCTATCCCAATCCAGATTCCAACATTGTTCTTTAAAGACGTGGAAAAACTAAACACTAACTTTATATGAAAGGAAAGAGACTCCATATAAGCAAAGTATTATTTCAAAAAAGAAGAAAAAAGTAGAAGACTATCACTTACTTCCCTGTCTCAAAACCTACTACACAGTTAACAGTAGTCAAAACAACGTGGTACTAGCACAACAAAAGACACACAGATCAATAGAACAGAATTGAGAACCCAGAAGTAAATCCATCCACCGACAGCCAGGTGATGTTTGACAAAGTGCCACAAAGTATTAAATGGAGAACAGATAGTCTCTTCAACAAATAGTGCTGGCAAAACTGGAAATGCATTTGCAGAAGACTAAAACAAGATCCATATTTCACATCACATACAAAAATGAATTCAGGGATATATCTTACACAGCACAATACGAATCTTGATGTTAGCAAAGTCTGAAAAGAGAAAAATATGAACTGGATTATGATAAAATTGATGGATCCTTTTTAGTGGCTGACTGAACACTCAAAAATTTTTGTCAGTCTAGAGGTATTCTAGTAGCCCACCAAAGTGCAGAGCATTTTCCTTTTTTAATGATAGATGGAGATATAAAGGGTGTACTTATCAGATTTGCAAATGACACAAAGCTGGACAGGATGGTTAACAGAATATATGAAATATTTGTCATTCAAAACTCTCTCTATAGATTAATGATGACTTTAGATTGAAAAGATTCAGCTACAAAATTATAGGATAGGTAAGCCAAATTTAGTCATAATTTATGTGGGCATTGCCGTGTGAGCCAACAGTGTGATATGCCTGTCAAAATGCTCAAAGGAATGTAGCTCTGGAGTTCTGGTTTGCCATTGTAGGATAAGCACTGGGCTTATCCTATCTCAAGGTTGGCAGTTCAAACCCACCGCCCTCCTTGGAAACCCTATACAGTGTTGCTATGAGTCAGAACCGACTTGAAGGCATTTAACAACAATTAAGTACAAGAGGTAATGGTTCCACAGACTGTTCAGGGCATACTGGAATACTGCTTTAATCAAAAGGGAAAGAGAATAGAGATACTAAGTTATTGCAGCCATCCAGAGCAGGGTGATGAATTTGGTGGAGATATTCAACACCATCTCATGCATCATTTGTGACTCAAATTATGAACACTGAATCATGATTTCCCATTGACTTTAATCCTTTTGAATCTTAAATTCCAACTCATAATTCAACTGTAGAAAAGTGCTAGTCGCCTCACTTCATGCACATGTATCATCCGTCACATATATCATGTACACCATCTTCTAAGTTCTCATGGTATTTAGTATCTGTAGCTCTCGTTGGAGTTTTCAATAACATTGTTTTGTTGTTAGCTGACCACTTAATGTTTATGTTCCAGTTCCCCAAGTAGATTACAACCTCTTAAATGTGAGAGATCCCAGTAGAATCAGTTGTTAGTTCCCCAAGGAATCCATTTCTTTGTATAAGTTGGACAATCATTTTATCAGTACTGCAGAAGAAGGCTACTATGAGATTACTTGGAGGTGGGTTTATAACTTTGTAATGCAAGGAGGCTTTGTAGTTTAAGGCATTTCTTTTTTTGTTACATTTAATTCTTATTATTACTAAGGAGATTGAGTCAGGATAAAATCACATTTGTGTGTTGAAAAAGAGAATTGGTTAAATGCTTTATTGTTCTCGGTTTTTATAAATTAATGGTTTGCATGTATCCCATATTCTCAAATTAAAGGCTTCCAGTGGTTGCTGCTGACATTGTGGGTGGCTGAATTCACCCTAACAAAAAAGTTCTTTGGTACCACATTGGGGTGTCTTCTATCTCTTTGATCCTAAGTCCTTTCCCCTATTTATTTCTTCTGAGTAAAACCACGAACTTCATGCTGCCCAACAATCCCCAAGAACTGACATACTGGAGCAATATTATACACACAAAAGGAGCTCAGTTAATAATTACAAATGAATAAAGAGTATTTCCATTACATATTGGGGGGGGGGGATCACGTACGTGCATCAGTTTTTAAGTGTACCAATGAACAGAGTAACTAACAAAATATTTGAATATTCAATACTTTATAGGAAGTATAATGGACCAGAAGAATACAGAAAGGAGGACTTTCGCCTTGTATCCCCAAACTAAATCCACTGTTGTAGAGTTGACAAAAGTCCAACAATAGTTACACTGAGTCTCAGAAACCCTGCAACTGTATCAGAACTTACTTACAGAACTCTCTCCAATCTCTATTGGTGGTGGTGGTTATTATGTGACATCTCACTCATAGCAACACTGTATAGGGTTCCTGAGACTGTAAATCTTTACAGGAGCAGAACCTCATCTTTCTTCTGCTGTTAGTTTTGAACTGCTGACCTTGAGGTTAGCAGCATGATTCAGATTGTGATTTAATGGAAATACAATATAGGTATTGTTGTTGTGTGTTGTCGAGTGCTGTCTAGTTGGCTTTGATTCATAGCGACCCTGTATAGTTTCCAAGGAGCAGCTAATGGGTTTGAACTGCCCACTTTGCAGTTCAAAGTCCAGTGCTGATCCTATAGCGCTACACCAGGGTCAGGTATTTAATTAGCCTTAAAATGGAAGGAGTTGGCCATTTGCAGAAGCGGTTTTACACACTCTAAGTAATTACTAGTAAAAAAAAGAATTGACTATTAGATCTGAAAGGAACCTTAGAAATTAACTAGTCCATTTAGCTTGTTTTACAGGTCAAAAAACAGGCTCAGAAACAAATGAAAATTTTTTCAAGATTCCCAAACCAATTAGTTGCAGAGCCTGCTTATTATTACAACTTACTGTTGCTGTTGTAGCCCAGTGTTCTTTCAATGTGGTTTTGACTTGCACAAGGAAAAGGAGACAGCCAAGACAACAAACATTTCAAGCCTTAAAAGGAATGAGATTTTCTCCATTGCTTACCTCCTTTTCTCCCCACCGATTTAAAAAGGGTTTCTGAAGTTTCTGCTTGGGAGAGTAGTTCCTTTTTGATATTTGCTGACTTTGAGTCAAAATCAATTTGAAGTCAATGGGTAGCACCTATGTAAAATGAGCCCTAGCGATGGAATGGTTAATTGCTCAGCTGCTAATTAAAAAGTTGGCGCTTTGAACCCACCATCAGCTATGTGGGAGAAAAGGCTGGCAGCTGGCTTCTGTGAAGATTACAGATTGGGAGACCCTATAGGGTTGCCGTGAGCCAGAATTAACTCAACAGCACACAATAACAACAGCAGATGTGTAGAAAACCTTGGGTGATGCAAATGGTTAAGTACTGAATGAAAAGTTGGAAGTTCAAGTCCACCCAGCAGCATCTCGGTAGAGAGGCCTGGTGATCTAATTCTGAAAATCAGTCAGCAAAAACCCTGTGGAGGATGGTTCTACTCTGGCACATATGGGACAATGTGTCATAATCACCTCCACTGGCAACTGGTATGATTTTGGTTACCATGTAGGCGAACATTTTAACTCAATTACACGTTTGTGTCTTTGTTAATCCATCTACTCTTTCTTCAAACTACCAATTTAAAAAAAAAAAAAAGACCGTAGAGATCATCTACTATACCTACCTTATGCTAACAATCAAAAGATTGACGTTTAGGAACAAATGGGAATTTGTATCTTGAGCGAAAAAAACAAGTACTTTCCTGGTGTGCCTCTTTAGGATCAGCACTGGACTGTGAACAATAAGGTTGGCATTCAAACCCACCAGCTGCTTTTGGAAACTCTATACAGGGTCACTAAAGTCAGAACAGATTCAATGCCATTTAACAACAAAAACAACAATCCCTTTAGTGGGGGAGTGCAGTGGCTGCATATGCTAAGCACTGGACTGTCAACCACACGGTTGATGGTTCAAACCCACCAGCTGCTCCACAGGAGAAAGATGAGGCTTTCTGCTCCCTTAAAGAATTACAATCTTGGAAACCCTGTACAGAGTCGCTATGAGTCAGAACTGACTCCAAAGTACTTAACAAGAATAACAACATGCATTTAGCAAGCAGCTCTGGTAGTGTGTGGGTTACTAGTTATTCTGATAACCACAAAATCAGCAGATCAAAATCTACCAGCAGATTTGCTCCTGTAAAGATTTACAACCTTGCAAGCACTCTACAACGTCACTATGAGTTAAACTGACTCCATGGCACATAACCACCACTACCTTTTAGTTAGGAAGGTCAGCAGTTTGAATCCACCAGCCCCTTCAGGAGAAAGTTGCTTTCTGCTTCAAAAACGTTATTCAGAGTCGCTATGAGTTGGAACCTACTCTATGGCACACAACCATCACTATTTGTGGAGTTAAAAATGTAACACTGAACTTCTGAAACTGAAAATTAAGTATGTAGCACAGGGTAATAAAATTATGCTTCGCTTTTTTTAAGACAGCAAAATGAAATTTCACAATGTTATTTGTCGTGTCATGTACAAACACTAGAAAAATTACAAAACAATTACATATTGTATTAAGAGGGTGAGTTTAACAGGCTCGCTATGAGTTGGAATCCACTTGGAGGCACTTAACAAGTTTAACATAATGACCATCTCTCGTCTCACCAAAATATCCTGCCAGTTGTGAAAAGCTCAATACATCAGAGTTTGCTACCTATTCTCTAAGAAGTTGTCATCCAAGACTACTTCACTGAGACAATATATTTGCTTTTCCAATCATAAGATATCTATCCTTAATCTTGAAATTATTACCACTTATTGTTTCAATTTTTGTTTACTCACATACCTAGGAGGCTGGGGAGGCTCCTTCGCGTCACTGGGTATGAGGTTATAAATGCTCTCAGAAGAGCACGTTGGATCCATGGCCACCAAATGACCCCTTAAAAACTATCAATTTTTCTCACTACAGTAATATCTCTGTCCTTTCCTTCACTCCTTCCCTTTCTTTTCCTACTTCCTTGTCTTTTTAAGAAATCAGAGATTATCTCTTTCACACAGTTCCCCTTTGATTCCCCCTTAATTGCCCTTTAGGTAAGAAAATACCCTTTCTCTTCCTCTTGGAGTTTCCTAGCGTTGTTGAAGATGCGGTTGCCGCGGAAACCGTTACTAGGCGACGGGGACGTGAAAGGTTAGGTTTCCTTTCTTCCCTTTAACGGCTGCGCTTTTTTCTACCTGAGAAGTTCAATATGGAAGCCACTGTTTATATGTGCCTTTGGACGTAGCACGATGGAAAACTTAAGCATACACTTTTTTTTTTTTGCTCTTTTCTCTCTGTATTAATTGGAGACAAAGCAAAACTTATCATCAGGAAACATAGCTGGTGCGCAGGCGTCACACAATAAGGCGCTTGTGCGCAGCACTCAATTCGGCGAGGGCGGGGGCAAATATTGAGATCACGCAGACGCACAGCCAATCGAGAGCGGGACTAGAAAGGGGACGAGCCATCAGAGGCCCTGGGAGGATTGGAGTGGGTGGAGTGTGGGTGGAGCGAGGGAGGAGAGTGACATATTAGGCAGCTCGGAGGAGTGGGCGTGGCGCGAGGGCGCAAAGGCCGGCACCAGCGCAAGCGCAGAGGCGGCTGCGAGGGGGCGGGCCGGGCCTAGTTTAGTGAGTCGGTGCAAGCACCGAGAGTCGTGGGCTTCCGTGTCCTGTGGCTCCTGGACCCTCCTTACCATTTTCTTTTCTTTCCCCCGTCTTCTCAGTGTGATATTCTTGGTGAGTTATTTGAGGCGAAAGAAAGGAGAGTTGCCGAAACCATAACGTAATCATCGCATGCCTATCCCCGTTTCGTTTCGTTCCCTTCTCGCAACTCGCTTAACTCGCTGTCATGTCAGTCTGTCTCCTTCTGCCCCGGGCGGCTTTTGCCCAGGGCGGCCCTGTCCTGCCACCTGTGTGAGTGCGCGCCCCACGTCCATTCACCTGTCGCGGCCCCGCGTCTCCCTCCCGCCTCTGGCGCCTGTGGCTCCCTTGGCCGCCCTGCTTTCTCTCGCGCTCGCCCTGCCCTGGGCTTTCTTGACCCCGAGGTCTTTCTCCAAAGACTTGTGCACTTTACATTTTTTAATGAGCAGCTTCAGTGACAGTGGAGGACCTTTTACTTGGCCCTTGTATTTGTGCCCAAGTCTTCGTGTCCCTTTTTAAAAATTGTCCTTTTGTGTAAAGGTTTTATTCCGTTTGGCGCAATTATGAATCTGTTTTATGCGCATGCTGGTAGAAATTGAGTCTAAAAGACATTTAATTTATCTTGAGATCCTGAGAGATAGTTTGGTAATATGATTTGGGAGGGAAGACTGATGGTCTGAACTGGTCTTCCAGAGGCCACTCTGCCCAAAGGGAATAAAGATGCCAGAAGAGGGGAGATAACACCCATTTTGTGTTCTCCACTCCCTAGGGGCTTTGTTGTTATGTGATATGGAGTCGATCTGACCCATAGCGACCCTCCCACCCATAGCGACCCTGTATAGGGTTTCCAAGGATCAGCTGGTGAGCTTGAACCGCCGACCTTGCACACGGACGCATTAATTTCCTACATTTTAAATTGCTGAATGTGTAGTGTCTTCCTGGTTTTAATGAAATACAATCAATTCACTTATGTCAATATGTTTGTTTATTGTGCTTAAAAAATAATAAGCAGAATTAGCTTACTAGTATTTGCTCACTTAATATGTTTAGTTTACAGTCAAGATGAAGTTAAGTCATTTGGAAAGGAACTGGTTTCCTTAAATGAACAAACATAAAAAGTTGCTGTGGATTTTTACTCCTGGTCACCCCAGGTGTTAACAGAGTATTTACTATTCCGTAGGATTTTCCTGACTGTACTCTGTGCAGAAACAGATCACTAGGTTGTGTCTCTGTTGAATGAGGTCCAACTGCCAATATTTAGGTTAATTATTGAGCGTAAAACCACTTGTGCCACCCAGAAACCTTTCCCTTAGATACTTGGCCTGTAATTCAGCTTGTCATTTGAAAGTAAGTTTACAAAGAATATATTTTTAATTTCAGTAACTTCTTCAAACTAGCAATACTGTTCAGGAAAATGCCTATGTCCAACATCATGTGTACAAGGAATTAATACTGATATGTATATAATCAAGGAATGACAAAACCTTCTGTAAAGGGATGGATAATATTTTAGGCTTTGCAGACCAGAGAATGTCCGTCGCTATGTAACTCTGCCATTGTAGCCCAAAAGCAATGATAATGTTGGTTGTGGTGTGCTTCCGAGGGTTCAACTCATAGCGACCCTGTATAGGGTTTCTGAGGCTGTAAATCTTTACAGGAGCAGAACGTCTCATCTTTCTCCCACAGAGCTACCAGTAGATTCCAACTACTGAATTTGTGATTAGCAACCAGCTTGTAATCCACTACGCTACCAAGGCTCCTAAAAGCAGCCATAGATGATACATGTGTGAATGAATAAACAAACTAGTGCATAATTAAACCTTATTTACAAAAAAGGGTGGTGGACTGAATTTGTCCTTTGGGCTGTAGTTTGTACAGTCCCGTGGTATAAATATGGTATATACATGAGTTATATAGACATAGTTATATTTTTTAACTAAACCTAATTCTACTTCATAAAATGAGCATAAATAGTATAAATAAGATGGGTGGAAAACAAATCTTTGCTAAAGATGGTCTCTTTCCAGTATTTTTTCAAAGGGAATTGGGAAGGTATTCAAAATGTTTGAAGCATCTCTTCAAGACCACTAGAGTATATCTGATAACAATAGACTAAAACAGAAAAGACTAGTCCGTTTTGACACAAGCTGAAGGCATAGGTAAATGATGAAGTTGTGAGATGATGTTTGTGGTTCTAAGATCCCTGTGGTGGCCATGTGTCCTTCCCACTAGAGTGTGGTCCCTCCACCTTCTTCATTCCTCTATTTCCTAGAAAGGAGAAACAGACTGAAAGGCAGGTTGACAGGATGTTTGGTCAGTAGTTAGAAGCTGCTGAGCTTTACCCCCCATCTCATGAACGTATGTCTTGTTTTATTTGCAGATCTTTCTTTTTATTATTACTTACTAGAAAATGATTTTTGTTAGATTAATAAAATGGAGAAGTCTTTAGAATATCTTTCTTCATAAGCTAACAGCCTAGATTTAGTCATTCTTCTGAGTCATTTTCAAGGATTGCATTAACATAGGATGACAAGTATAACCATGGCATAGACATTTTTATATAAGTCCATTGAGCCATACCAAGTTTTCATGTGAAATAATTTTTGATGTGCTATGTCCGCAGGGCATTTTTGAAAGAGTGTAGAACAGCAAATATTTTCAGTTGATGTCAAATGGTAAATAATTTTGGCCAAATACGGCTTTGAGGATTTCCCAGAAGATTTGAAAACTATGTCATTTTCTAATGCAATTGAAAAATTCTTTTGGACCAATTTGGAAGTAAAAGTGGACATTGGGTAGAGTATGATTTCAACTGATTACCATGTAGTGGTAACTTCAGGAGAACATGATCATTGTAAATAAAATCCCTCAACCAAACCCACTGCCTTTGAGGTGATTCCAACCAGGCGACCCTATTGGACAGCGGTGAACTGCCTTACAGGAGTTCCAAGACCATGATTTTTATGGAAGCAGACTGCTCTATCTCCCTCCCATGAAGTGCCTAATTTTTAGCAACTTGTTTGCAGTGAAGGAGCCCTGGCAGCGCAGTGGGTAAGTGTTTTCCCTACTTACTGAAAACAAGGTCAGCTGTTTGACCTTACTAGTCTGCTTCCATAAAGATTACAACTTTGAAACCCTATATAAAGTGAGGAGTCCTGGTATGGTGTTGTAGGATAAGCACTGGATTCCTTATTGAGAGGTCAGCAGTTAAAGCCCATGAGCTGCTCCTGTACAGGATGGCTATGAGTTGGAACTGATTCAACTCGACAGCACTTAACAGCAAAACCAAACAACAGTAATATAGTGAGATCTGAGTACTTTGTGGTCATGGGATTTGCTCTTTATGTAATCCTTTTGTTTTTTGACTCTTATGTGACTTCTATGGAGCTCTGGTAACATAGTGGTTATGAATCAGGCTGGTAACCTCAGGGTCATCCGTTTGAAACTACCAGCCATTCCACAGGAGAAAGATGAGGTGTTCTGCTCCCGTAAAGATTGACAGCCTTGGAAACCCTGTACAGGGTCGCTATGAGTCAGAACCAACTCCACGGCACACAACAACAACAACAACATGAGACTTCTATTTCATAGGAAATATTTTCATCTCTGTAGAAAGATTACCTACTCATGATCACAACACCAGCAAACTTATTAAAATATTAATAAATGAGAAAATCTAAGAAATGGTTTTGAATGAAGGAAAAAACATTTTAAGTAAAAACGCATTGCTGGTAAAAGCTATGTTATAGGTAGTTTGTTGTATCTTTTGGTTTGCTTACAACTGATGTGTCCTTAAAAATTGTTTATGGCTAAATGCTACAAAATGGAATTTAGTATTAGCTAAAAACAAATTTATTTTGATTTTTCTCTAAAAATAGTAATATTTGTTACATGTTAGGACACTTAACAACTATATTCTGCTAGCTTTAGAAAGAGTTGTGAAAAAATAATACTGCTATTAAATCAGTAAGTCATACTGTCATTGTTTTCTACTTTTAAGTCATCTTATAGTAAGGAGCTCTGGTAGCATGGTGGTTACAAATCGGCCTGCGAACTGCAAGGTCAGCAGTTCGAAACTACCAGCCACTCCGCGGGAAGAAGATGAGGCATTCTGCTCCCGTAAAGATTTACAGCCTCGGAAACCCTTTCAGGGTTGCTATGGGTCGAAACCGACTCGACGGCACTTAACAACAACAACAACATACTCTTAAGTGCTGTTGAGTCGGTTCCGACTCATAGCAACTATATGTAGGGTTTCTAAGGAGCAGCTGGTGGGCTTAAACTGCTGACCATGTAGTTCACAATCCAGTGCTGATCCTACAGCACCATACCAAGAGTCCTTAGATACACATCATCTATATCTACCCCAAAAGTTTTGTAAAAGGTAAATAAGATAAAAATTTTAAATGAAAAGACATAGAGAAATGAGGACTATGAAGTAAGATTTGATAAGGTGAAATTAACACAGATAATGTTTGCCTTGTAGGAGCTCTGGTAGCATAGTGGTTACGAATTGGGCTGCTAATCTCAAGGTCAGCAGTTCAAAACTACCAGCTGTTCCACTGGAGAAAGATGAGGCTTTCTGCTCCCATAAAGATTTATAGCTTCAGAAACCCTGTACAGGGTTACTATGAGTTGGAACTGACTCCACGGCACACAACAACAACAACAATTGTTTGCCTTGTAGTGCATTACTCTTAACAGAGTTGATGTTCAGTAGTTAGCAGCTAACAGATAGTGGAATAGAAGATCATTTCAAAGATTTAGTGTCCATAAAAACAAACCAATTACTCAGAAAATGTACAATCACTGACATAGAGATCAGAAAGAAATTCATGCACTAAGAACCCAAAAAGTGAATACTAATGTTATAAGTAAAAGCCTTCCAAATAGGAATTTGATCCGCATGCTTTATACAGTGCCGTCAAAGCAGCTAGTGCTAAAGACAGATTCAAAACACACTTCAATGAAAGAAATGAGTGATCTGGGTCAGGTGTCCAGTTCTCTCTGGTCCTTGGATTACTCTAGGGAACAAGTTAGACTGTGTATAGCAAGACAGCTCTTGATCCAGGGTTTATATTTGTTTTATAAACAAACCAAACTGTAAAAATAAGCCTAGATATTTTGATGCAGTTACATATTTTCATAATCCATTGTTACTGAGTGACAGTGATTAATATTAATGTATATTAATGTTCTTATGTGCCAGCTACTATAATAAGTACTTTGAATGACTCATTTAAATATCTCAGAGGTGTCGCAGATGCTTCATTGGGACTTTTTATAATAGACATTATTACATATAAATCATAGAGTGATTCAGATGGATGAGACAACTGAAAAGAATAATTGAGGCACTTATTTTAGGCTTAGTATACTGATTGATTTCCTCTGATTATTAAAAATACAGTGAAGACATAATAACTTCACATGTCACTGTGAAAGAATTTGTATTTGTTAATGGTAAGTTATTTTGTCTTTCATATTGCTTGATGACAAATCCGGTTCTGTTTAGTAAAATTCTTTTCTCTAAGACTAATACATGTTTTTTAAAAAAAACAGTGTCTTAGCATTTTAATAATAGATTTGAGAAAACAGGAAAAGAGCCAATTCGTTATCTTTCTGGTGGATTTTTAAATAACAGACTAATGGGAGTGTGGAATTTTATGATACACTGTGAAGTTATGACTGATTTTTTTTTCATTATAGACTCCACTTTGTACAAAGATCAACTTTGCCTCAGAATCAACAAAACTACCAACTCTTCATCTAGGATTGGTTCCTGTGTGTCATATGTTTACAAGTCAGTGGGAATTAAGCACAGTACATACAATCTGAAAAGCTGAATAACGTAATGAATACCTTCTCATGACAGTTCTGATTTTATTGTAAGTAAATTCAGTTTGATTAAAATGATTTAAATATTTAATTTCAGATCACAGTTTAAGAAACAGAGATAAACATAGTAGAAAATGACTGTAAGTTTTCAGAACATATTTAAACATACTCTCTAGCATCCTGGTATGGCATTATAGGATAAACACTGGATTGCTAACCACAGGGTTGGCGGTTCAAACCCACCAGCTGCTCCTCAGTAACCTTATTCAGAGTCACTATGAGTTGAAACTGACTCAACATCACTTAAAAACAACATCTGACATTTAATAGAGCTTAGTTAAGGAGCTCTGGTAGCATAGTGGTTAAGAATCAGGCTGCGAACCACAAGGTCAACAGTTCGAAACTACCAGCTGTTCCATGGGAGAAAAATGAGGCTTTCTGCTCCCATAAAAATTTACAGCCTCGGAAACCCTGTGCAGGGTCGCTATGAGTCAGAACCGACTCCACGGCACATAACAACAACAAGTTGCATATTGCTTTTACCATAGGACATTTCTAGTAGTGTAGTGGTTACAAATTGGGCTGCTAACTTCAAGGTCAGCAGTTCAAAACTACCAGTTGTTCCACGGGAGAAAGCTGAGGCGTTCTGCTCCCATAAAGATTTACAGCCTCGGAAACCCTGTTGTTGTTGTTGTTGTTGTTGAGTGCCATCGAGTCGGGTCCGACCCATAGCGACCCTGTACAGGGTTTCCGAGGGTGTAAATCTTTACGGGAGTAGAAAGCCTCATCTTTCTCCCGCGGAGCGGCTGGTAGTTTCGAACCGCTGACCTTAAGGTTCGCAGCCCGATTCGTAACCACTACGCTACCAGAGCTCCTTGTACAGGGTCGCTATGAGTCAGAACCAACTCCACGGCATACCACCACCACCACATCACTGTAAAACTACTTCTGTCAGTTTAAATAAGTATTTTGGCAGTTAATTAATTTACACATATGTATAGTGGTTACAAGTGCGTAGTGGTTATGAATCGAGCTGCTTATCTCCCTGTCAGCAGTTTGAAATTACCAGCTGTTCTGCCAGAGAAAGATGAGGCTTTTTGTTCCCGTAAAGATTTATAGCCTCGGAAACCCTGTATAGGGTCGCTGAGTCGGAACCGACTCCACAGCACATAACAACAACAAGTAGCTAAATGTTTACTTGCCTAGCATACATTTTTGCTTTGGTGTAGTGTATATTTTCAAAGACAGGTACCTGAACAGTATGTGGAATTGCAGAGCTTCCTACGATGCTAGAATAAGTTTTCCTATCACCACTGGAAACATTTCCTGAATTTTTTTGGCTAGCCGTCTGTAGTCAGTCTGGAACTTGAGTGAAGTCCCTACACTGGTTATGTTTATAGGACCAGAAACAAAACAAGATTCCCATACAGATGAGGTTAATGATTTCTAACCATTAACTTTGTTTCTGATTTATCACTTTTTAACTATTTGGTATAATTTTATATCTTTCACTTTGACTTTTAAAGATCTTCAGTATGAAAAACATGTAAGACTGACTCTTAACAGGATGCATGTAAAAGACATAGAAAGAGGTAGAGCTTTAATTCACCCTATCACTTGGAAAGCTGTTTAAGCAAAGTTATATTAACTAAGTCCTGGTGTGGCACTGTGGGATAAAGCACTGGACCACGAGGTTGGTTTTGAACCAGAGACAGGATCAGTGCTTCAAACTCACCTGCCGCTCCGTGGAAACCTTATAAGGGTCTCTATGAATCAGAACTGAATTGACTGCACTTAACAACAACAGTAACAACAATTAGCAAATATGGAGTCCTGGTGTAGTGCTGTAGGATAAGTACTGGACTGCTCGCCACAAGGTCAGTGGTTCAAACCCACACCAGCTGTTCCTTAGAGACTATATTTAGATGGGGTGTAGAATGTATGGCCCTGCCAAGGCAACTACAGTTCCAGCCATCAACACATAGCGACCTTAGGCACAACAGAACAAAACACTGCCTGTTCCGGCCCCAACTCCACAATTGTTGCTACGTTTGAGCCCACTTTTTCGATGACCCTCTGCTCTACCAAACATAATGTCCTTCTCTACGGACTGGTCCCTCTTGAGATGTCTGAAATATGAGAGACAAAGTTTGGCCATGCAGGCTTCCAAGGAGCATTCTGGCTGTCCTTCTAACACAGATTGGTTTGTTCTTTTTCCAGCTCACAGTACTTCTCCAACACCATAGATCAAATGCGTCAATTCTTCTAAGATCTTCCTTACTCACTGTCCAACTTTCACATGTATATGAGGTTATTCAAAATACCATGACTTGGGTCAGGCACACCTTAGTCTTCAAACTGACATCTTTGCTCTTGAACACTTAAAAGAGGTCCTTTGCAGCAGATTTGCTTAATGCAATATGTCATATGATTTCCTGACTGCTTCTTCCATGAGTGTTAATGGTTGATCCAAGCAAAATGAAGTTTTTGACAACTTCAGTCTTTTCTCCATTTATCTTGAAGTAAGGAGCTCTGCTTGTGTAATGGTTATGATTTGAGCTGCTAACCTCATAGTCAGCAGTTCGAAACTATCAGCAGTTCCGTGACAGAAAGATGAGGCTTTCTGCTCCTGTAAAGACTTAAAGCCTCAGAAACCATATACAGTGTCGCTATGAGTAAGAACTGATTCCATGGTTTATAACTAACCAAACAACCAATCTTGATGTTATTGGTTCAGTGGTGAGGATTTTTGTTTTCTTCACATTAAGGTTTGGCCCATACCTAAGGCTGTGGTCTTGGATCTGCAGTAGTAGTGTAAGTCTTCTACTTTCAGCAAGCAGGGTTGTATCATCTGCATATTTCAGGTTGTTAATGAGTCTTCCTTTAATCCTGATGTCACGTTCTTCTTTATATAATCCACTTTATATGGATTATATAAAGAAGCTCTCAGATTATGTGCTCAGCATACATACAGATTGAATAAGTGTGTAAGAATACAATCCTGGTGCACACCTTTCCTAATTTTAAACCATACAGAGTTCCCTTGTTCTGTTTGAACAACTGCCATTTGGTCATGAGCACAATTAAGTGTTGTAGAATACTCACTTTCCATAATGTTATCCATAGCCTATCATGATCCATATAATTGGAAGCTTTTGTGTAATCAAGAAAGCACAAGTAAACATCTTTCTGGTATTCTCTGCTTTCAGCCAATAAGGCAATAATATGCCTTATTCTACTTCCTTGTCTGAATCTGGCTTGAACCTCTGGCTGTGTACTGCTGCAGCAATTTAAAAATTATCTTTAGCAAGATTTTACTTGTATGCAATATTAATGATATTGTCCAATGATTTCTGCATCGCATTGGGTCACCTCTCTTTGAATTGAGTACAAATATGGATCTCTTCCAATCGATTGGCCAGGTAGCTATCTTCCAGATATCCTGGCATAGATGAGTGACTGCTTCCAGTGCCACTTCAGTTTGCTGAAAGATTTTAATGTGTATTTTATCAATTCCTGAAACCTTGTGCTTTGTTAATGACTTCAGTGCACCTTTTCCTCCTTTAGTATCATTGGCTCTTGATAATATGCTACTTCTTGAAATGGCTGAACGTCTACCATTTCTTTTTCTTTTCTTTTTTTTTTTTTTTTTACCATTTCTTTTTGATACAGTGACTCTGTGTATTCCTTCCATCATCTTTTGATACTTTCTGCATCATTAAATATTTTGCGCACAGAATCCTTCAATATTACAAGTCGAGGCTTGAATTTTTTTAAACAATTCCCTCAACTTGAGAAATGCTGAGCATGTTCTTCCCTTTTCTTTTTTTAACTCCAGATCTTTGCACATTTCATTATAATAATTGACTTTGTCGTCTCGAGCTGAGCTTTGAAATGTTCTATTCAGCTCTTCTCCCTCCTTATTTCTTTCCTTTGCTTTTAGAATCTCTACACTGGAGAGCATATTTCAGAATATCTTCTGACATCCATTTTGGTCTTTTTCTTCTTTCCTGTCTTCTTAATGACCTTTTGCTTTCTTCCTGTATAATGTTCTTGATATCATCCCACAACTCTTCTGATCATCAGTCATTAGGGTTTTAATTCATCAAATCTGTTCTTGAGTTGGTCTCTAATCAGGTGGGATATGTTCAAGGTCATATTTTGGCTCTTGTGGACTTACTTTAATTTTCTTCAGCTTCAGCCTGAACTTGCATTTGAGCAATTGATGGTCTGTTCCACAGTCTGCTCTTGGCCTTGTTTTGGCTGATGATATTTTCCACCATCTCTTTCCACAGATGTAGTCAATATGATTTCTGTATATTCCATCTGGTGAGGTCCATGTGTATATAGTCATCTTTTATGTTGTTTAAAAAAGGTATTTGCAGTGAACAAGTCATTGGTTACAAAATTCTTTCATGGTATCTCCAGCATCGTTTCTATCATAAGGCTGTATTTTTTATCTACTGACCCTTCCTCTTTGTTTCTAACCTTTGCATTCCAGTTGCCATTAATTATCAATACATCTTGATTGCATATGTTTCATCAATTTCAGTTGGTGGAATTGTTCAATTTCACCAACACTTTTGTTAGTGTAAATTTGAATAATAGTTGTATTAACTGGTCTTCCTTTTAGGCATATGGATATTATCCTATCACAGACAGTGTTATACTTTAAGATAGATCTTGAAATTTTCTTTCTGATGATAATGTGATGCCATTCTTCTTCAGTTCGTCATTCAGGCAAAGTAGAAGATGTGGTTGCCAAATTCAAAATGACTAATACCAGTCCATTTCAGCTCACTAATGCCTAAGATTTCAATGTTTATACGTTCTATTTAATTTTGACAACTTACAATTTTCCTAGATTCATACTTCTTACATTCCATGTTCTGATTTTTAATAGATGTTTACAGTTGTTTCTCCTCATTTGGAGTTATTCTCTATCAGCAAATGAAAGTCCTGAAAGCTTCGCTCCATTTGTGTCATCACAGTCAGCTCTACTTTGAGGAGGCAGCTCTTCCCCAGTTGTATTTTGAGTGCCTTCCAACCTGATGGGCTCTTTTTCTGGCACTGTTTCTGACAATATTCTGATGCCCTTCATCATGTTTCAATATCCAAATTCTGGTACTGACAGTGTTTCACTGCTACTCATAAGATTTTCAGTGACTAAACATTCAGAAGTTGTCTGCCTCTCCTGTCTCCTAGTCTTTCTTAGTC